GAACAGACATCTAATACTTCTACATTAATGTTTTCAGATACAAATTAATGTACTTCTGGAATGGACATCTAATACTTCTACATTAATGTTTTCAGATTTAAATGAATGTACTTCTGGAACAGACATCTAATACTTCTACATTAATGTTTTCAGATACAAATGAATGTACTTCTGGAACAGACATCTAATACTTCTACATTAATGTTTTCAGATATAAATGAATGTACTTCTGGAAGAGACAACTGTCACCTATATGCTGAATGTGTTAATCTGCCTGGAAGTTTTGCTTGTAGATGTCTCCTTGGGTATTCTGGTAATGGTGTGAATTGTGAACGTAAGTTTCTGTTAGAATTTAAGCTGAAACTTTATATTCATTGTAGAAATAAAACATTTAAAAAAGTGACACATTTCTTTTTTAAACTGATGAAAAGATTTATTCTGATATGACATTTTTCCTCTTTTCACAAAGTGCTTTCTCAACTTGAACTGCCCTCTATCAGGGCAATTTTTTGCTTGCTATTGGCCTTGCTACTCCCACTTATCACTGCATACTAACATGCAAATGATCATGCAGTGACCCTCCACCAATAGGAGTGCAACACTACCCCTATCATATCTAGCATCCTCTCTAGTCATGCACATGTAATCACTTATCGATTGGCAGTCCTACTGATTAGACATGTTTTTCATTTGCAGTTTATTAACCTATCCACACGTTTTTATTTTCGTGAATTTCAACTTCAGTTAATTTTGTTATCTTATTTTTTCATTTTGTTTCTTGGAGAGTTACAATTTATTTTATTTTATCTTCTTTTTCAATTTCAGAGTTATACACACACAATTTTGGGTGGTCATGACTACAACTGCTCTTACTGTGGTAACGAAAGTACCAACCACGTCGATCGGGTTGAAACAATGATTCTCGGCCTATGAATTAACTGCTCTGGTCCGTCGGGAGTTGATCAATTTCATGCAACAATCAGAACACACTGATTGTCCTCATAAGGTTTTCATTGATCTTTTGGTTTTGGATTTGGACTGCCTTTTTCCTCTCTCCTGAATATGCCTCTTAGTCACGTGTCATTTTAGGGGACTTCTTTCCCTTTTAGTGGATTTGTTATTCAGATATGTTATGTTCTGTACTTATCTTCCATTTTCCACCCCTGCCCTTCTCAGGGATGAGCCTTTGGGTCATTATATAGGGTTTCCTCCTCCCCTGGATCTTGGGGTTTATGTGAGACATTTTTGGGGGATTTGCATTTAGGGGTCAGTATGCCTCGACCCCCACGTACTGTGAATGATCATGTTTTGATTATCATTGTTACAACTTCACTTATTTGGACTCACAACATTAGGTGTCACTTCTCCCATAGTGGGGATCAGACCCCAATAATTTGACCTACATTTTGCATAATCATCTTACTCTAACCACTCTTCTAGGGTCAGGGTTGGTGGGGCCACTTTTGGAGGTCCCTGGTGGTCGATCCATGGGTTCTAAATGTCATTTCAGTAAGTCTGGTCATCTATTTCCATTCATCTCCTCTGTTGTCTCACAATCTCATTTCCTTCTCTACATTTACAACATTTATGACTGTTCTGATCCCACCCAGCTCCTTTGTCCAGTCAGGGCTCTCCACGGGTATATGACATGTCTGCCCCTTCTGTTGTTCCTGAATCCATTTATTTCTTCCATGAAATCCTCTCCTCACTCATGACCTTTTTCCCATTACCTTTTTGGGTTGAATTCATCAGTTCATTAGCCTGCCATTTGTTTTCCTTTTCTTGTGATAATTATCATCTTTTTCATGTTTTAATCCCATCAGATCCATCACCTTACCATGTCCCTGGCTGCACATTTCCATCTTCCCTTGGGAGACATCATAAGTGCTGTAACTGTTTGTCTGTGTGGTAAGTACTCCATTCATTTTTCTTTATATTTGCTGGGGCCTTTTTCACATATTTGGATCCAACTCTCTAGCAAGTATTGCCTGACCAAGTATACGTAGTCTTAAATCTGCACTGTACGACCTGTAAATATGCTGGATGACTGTGATGTTGAGACTCTTCCTACCATGCCCCTGATGTACCATTCTAGATGCTGCCAGGGGTTATCTTATTGACTCTGTCAATGTGTTCTCTATGATTTCAAAACACAATGTCACGGACTAACATGAGTAAAGCAGACAGAGATTACTGCACTACCCAAATCTGATTTATGGCATTTGAGGCTCTTCCTATCACAGACCTTATCTCTAATTCCAGACACTGCCAGGTGTTGGATGATGCACTGCTTTTCAAAATAGTGTATTGCAGTCACCCATTGCACTGTCTTCCAGACTCTCCAGTGCACTTTTTCTCTCCTTCTTTTAGTGGAGCATGGTGGTCCTTGCCACTTACCAGTTCCTAGCCACTGGGGTGGTGGACCATGGAGGCCTGTCCTCCTGTGTGCGCCCAATACCACTCAGTATGAGAGTAGAGTGGTATCATTATGTGGGTGTCAATTGTCTGATGTCCTTCCTGCAGCAGACCTGCTGTACAATTTCAGATGCCACCAGGTGTTGGATGTAGCACTCTACCACATATATTTATTTAACCAATATAAAAACCAGTGTGTGTCACGTGATTTCTCGAAACAGGAGGTGTCATATGAGCCAAAATGTATATATCCAGATAGAATAGTTTGATTACTGTATGCCTGTTACAATTTTAGTAACAGGGGTGCAAGAGGGCTGTGAGGGGTGCCGTGAAAACTTATAACTGTAGAGAGTACTGGTATAATAAACCTAAAGTAAAGACATAGTGTGAGATCACTTAGCCTAGAGCCAAGTGCATAAAATTTATCATGAAAGTAAAAATATCGATTCAATTTTAAACTTAAATCATTTTTTAATTAAGTTACAGTACTGTGCAAAAGTGTTAGAATAAAGTCAAAAATTAGATTTCAGGCCATTTTAAAAGAACATTCAATTGAAAAATCAAAATTTTATTAATATTCATATTTAGTACAACAGAAACTCAGTGGAACTACTTGAGTTCAGCAAACAGTTAATATTTTGTGTGTGTCCCCTTTTGCTTTAATAACTGCAGACAGCCTTTCAGGCATTGTTGTAACATATTTAATCAAAGGGATTTTACTCCAAATGTCTTTAATACACTCTCATAAAGTTTCTTTGAAAGTAACTTTTGATTTGTCAAGTTTTTGATCTATCAAATCCAAGATCTGCTCAATTGGGTTGAGATTGGGGCTCTGTGGAGGCCATTGCATCATTTGAATGACTCCAGTAACTTCATTCTTAGCTAAGTTATTTCTACATAGGTTAGATGAATGTTTGGGGTCATTATCTTCTTGGTAGTAGAATTCTTTACTAATAATATGCAAAGCACTTGGGATACCATAATGGATCAATATCTGATGGTACTTGCACTGGTCCATTATTCCACCAAATATTTCAAACTTGGACTCATCCATAACACTCTTTTCCAATCATCAACAGTCCAGTTTTTGTACTTTTTAGCCAATTTCAGTCTCTTGACAATACTTGGAGATCGAGTATAAGTTTTCTAAATGCTACACAACCAAATATTCCATTCTCCTTGAGTCTTCTTGATACTGTAGATCTGGACACTTTTCTGTCATTTGGTACGTGGTCATTTTTTCATGCTTGAGATCAGAGGCAGTCTTCCTTCTGTCCAGAAGGCTGCATAAATGAAGATACTTAACATTAGTATCATTGAGTTTAGGTGTTCTGCTTCTTCTTTTCCTATTTTCAAATTTACCTGTCTTGGTCTCACGATCTAGGGTATACTTGACAGTTTTGGGGACATTTCAAGTCTGCAGCAATTTCTCGAAGAGTCCAACCAGCATCAGGTAAAGCTTTTATGTGAACTCTCTGTTCTACTGACAAGTCTCTATGCTTTTTGGGCTGTGGCATAACAACAAAACTTAATATATAATGTTAAACACTGTTTTTATAAAGGTTTATTTGTAGATTGCTATTAGATTGATTTCTTCTAGCATATATCAGTACCATATGCTAGCTTCTTTCTATATAGTTAAGACACTGCATGGGG